TATAATTATATATTATATATATATATAATGGAATACTACTCAGCCATAAAAAACAATGAGATGTTGCCACTTGCAACAGCATAGATGGACTTGGAGGGTATTACACTTAGTGAAATAAGTCAGGCAGAGAAAGACAGATACTGTATGACATCACTTATATGTGGAATCGAAAAACTACAACAGACTAGTGAATATAACAAAAAAGAAACAGACTCACAGATATAGAGAACAAACCAGTGGTTACTAGTGGGGAGAGGGAAGGGGGGAGGGGCAAGATAGGGGTAAAGGATTAAGAGGTAAAAACAGCTATGTATAAAATAAATAAGCTGTACAATATAGCCTTATAAATAAGGCTATATTGTACAGCATAGGGAATATAGACAATATTTTATAATAACTATAAATGGAGTATAATCTTTAAAAATTGTATATCACTGATTGTACACCAGAAGCTTATTCAAAATGGTAAATCAACTATACCTCAATAAAAAACAACAACTCCACTTTATAGAACTCACTGTCTTCTTTGGTTCCTAAAATAGATAAAAATGAGTCACCACAGATGGTTGGAGATGGTCTTTAGCAATGGTCCTGGACTGTTTCAGAACTTTTCCCCCTGGCCTTGGGGGCAGTCATTTCTAGATGGACCCTTTTGGGCACTCTTCTGAAGCCCGGAAGGATCTCTGTGTGTGGAGACAGGTGGGGCTTCTTCTGAAGCTGCCTTTAACCTGTCTTTCTCCAGGCAGTGCTCCCCTAGTTATGAAGCTGGTCTCTGGCAGAGCTGCCATGGCATCTCTGTTGGCTCAGGGCAAACCATTTCCAAACCAAATTTATGGCCTGTTGTTCAACACCAGGGGGATGCCCTCTCCCCTGCGCTGTGAAGAGACAACAGGGCAAAACCTCTTTGAGTTTGAAAAGAAACTGTGTCTTCCACAATTCCTCTTTTTTGAAGGTGAACAAAGCTGTATGAGGAGCTTCTCACAGTAGGTTTAAAGTGTCTGGAGAGGAGGGCTGTCTTATCTGGATCTTCAGCAATTGGTGTCTCACATGGAGTAGGCTCTTGATAAACAGTTTTTGACTTGGGAATCCAGTTGTTTGTTTGTTTGGTGTTTTTCCGTTATAGTTTATTACAAGATATTGAATATAGTTCCCTGTGCTATACAGTAGGACCTTGTTTTTTTTTACTTTTTACATAGCAGTTCGTATCTGCTAATCCCAAACCGAATCCAATTTTGCAGTTGGGTCAGAGTTTCTGTTTGCAGTGTTACTCTGTAATAATTCAAGGCAGTTTGGTGTAGTGGTTAGAAGCGTGGCTCTGGAGCCAGGCCCTGGGTGTCAAGTTCAGCACTGACGCACACTTAGCGTACCCTGCCTCATAGGGCTATTGGGAAGGTTAAATTAGTTCACGTATCGTAAGTGATGTATGATTATCAGTACTTATTATTAGCACTCTTCAGACTTAAGGTCTGGCAACCAGATCCTTCTGTGACCAAGGATGAGTTCCTTGATTTTCCCAGGTGTTAGAAGATACGGATATTTCTCTCCTTGTGTGATTGTGAGAACAAAGGGCATGCTGTTCCCTGGCTCCCGGGGACTGACATGGCAAAATAACTAACAAATAGGTCTTAAAAGCAGGGTCTGACTTCATGTAAGTAGCCCTGACTTCCACGGACCAGGAGAGAGTAGCGTGACAGTAGTGTCTTGACCTCCTCTTGGACAGCTTTGAGGCTACTGGTTGGCCTGCAAGCCAGGGTGTGAGAACACTGATCCCAGCCTCTGGCCGGCGCCTGCTGCTCACCAGGCAGAACTACAGAGCCAGGTCTGGCTGCATTTCTAGGCTGCAGACAGATGAGGAATGAGTCTGAGGGAAGAAGAGAGACTTCTAGTCCAGCCTTGCTGGTTGCAGCCACTTGGGTACTGTGCGCATCCAGGTGCCCACAGCCAGGGCTTCCAAGCCTGCGTCATTCAGCTGGACCTTTGGGTCCCAAGTTTTCCCTGGTGCCCAGTGGGTTGGAGGCTTGGAGGGCTGTAGTGGCAGAGGGGCCTGGGGTGGGGATGGAGAGAGAAGAGACCCACCTCTCAGCCTCGGAGATAACTTATGTTCTGAAGTGGAGCTAGGGCAAGAAGCTGTGGCCCACCTCTGCCCACCATGTAATGTGGGAGGGAGGGGGGAAAGCTTAGAAAGGGAGATGGGGGGGTGGTGTAGGGGAGTGGCCCAGTGATCCCCGGGGGTGGCAGGAGCCTGGGAGACCAGGCCTGTCACGTCACACCAGCTGGTTTGGAGGTAAATGCTGTGTGGGAAAGGCTGCTGCAGGGATGCGTTCATCCCACAAATAATCAAGTGCCCCAGCATTGTGCTGGATGCTGGAGATGTATTCACAGACAGAAGAGACAGAATCCTTGTCTTCTTGGAGCTCAGAGTGGGGGGATTCCATTGCTAGTCAAATCACACAAATCAATTCATCATCAAACTGTGTTAAGAGCCCTGAAGGAAAAGTGTGGGGTGGGTGAGAGGTTATTAGAGGGGGACCTGTCCTCACCTGTGAGAGTCAGGGAGAGCCTCCCAGATGAACCCACATCTGAGTGGGAGGGGAGGAAAGGGAGAAGGAACAGTGTGTCTAAAGGCCCAGGGGTAGGAGCAAATATAGCCCATTTGGGAACTGTAAAGTAGGCCAGTGTGCCCGACCAGCAGGGAGCAAGGTGGGGACAAAACAGGAAGAGCTGAGGCCAGAGAAGGGGCCCCAGCATCAGATCTGCCAGGCCAGGAGACCATGTGAAGGTCCCCAGGGACAGAGGGGCACCACTCAAGGGTTTTAAGCAGGGGCAGCCTGAGGGAAGTTGATCCTGTGCAGGGGTGAGTTGTGGATTGTACTGTCCAGTTATTGTTTTCCAGCTGTATTCTGCAGTGGTTAACGGGTTCACTGGGAAAGGGGTTCATGGTCAGATAAGTCTGGGAGATACATAATCATATATGCTCTTGATCTGGTTATCTATTGCTGTGTAACAAACCACTTGAAACTTAATGGCTTTGCTGTACGCCTGAAACATTATAAATCAACTGTACTTCAATAGAAAAAAAAATTTTAACTTAATGGCTTAAAACAACAACTTATTAACTCTCATGGTTCTGGCGAGTTGACTGGGCTCAGCTGGGCGCGTCTTGCTCAGGGTCTCTCAAGCAGTTACTCCTTTTCATCTCTGTTAGTTGCAGTCAGATGATTGCTGAGGTTAGACTCATCTGAAGGCTTCCTCACTCACATGTCTCTGTGCCCGTGTTGGTTGGGCATTTCTCTCTCCACTTGGTTTCGCCTCATGTTAGCTTGGGCTTCCTCCTAGCATGGCAGTCTCAGTGTTGTTGGGCTTCTTACATGGTGGCTGGTTTCCCCCAGAGTGAGTGTTGCAAGAGGCTCGGGAAGAAACTGCAAGGCTTCATGTAACCTTGCTCAAAAGTCCCAGAACATCACTGCCACAGTATTTTATTGGTCAAGCAAGTTACTGAGGCTGGCCCAGATTCAAAGGAGGGGAATTAGACTCCACAGCTCAACAGGAAGAGTAGCAAATACTTGGCAGCTATCTATCTTTAATCTGCTATACCTCTTGGAGGTTCATAATGCGTAAGAATGTACCAAAGGTGTCTGGGAAGTCCTGCAGTAAATAAAACTGTTTAACTCAGCATTTCACAATCTGATGATGATGTTATATTAAATCAGGAAATTCCTTTCTCATAGAAAATTGCTTAACTTGTATTCTGCTAGAGAGCAGTGGGCAGAAGGGAAAGGTGATAGATTTGGGGGCTCAGTACTACTTTCTAATCAATAAAACTTTCCAGAGATGGAAAGTAGAGATTGCTAGTGAGTTCCTGGTTTGGGGAGGTACCCAAATAGAGCCAAGTGCAGAGACCATCAGCGTGGACCAGGAGACCAACTGTCCCAATGGTGAAAGCTTGGATTTGACCTCTGACCAATCTAGGTTCAAATTCACCACTTAGAGCTGTGTAAAACCGGGCAACTTACCTCTCTCTAGGCTTCAGTTTCCTTATCTACAAAATAGGTAGTTCCTATTTCATAGGGTTGTGAGGATTAATGAGATCCTGTATGTGAATTACTGAGCACAGGATGCCTTCCTTGGTTAGAGTTTGTGGCTGCTTAGTTTCCTACCACTTCTAGGGTTTAAGAACTTTGGGTTTATTCTGGACTTGCTTCCAAAGGGCAAACTAGTATTGTAAGTCACGGACTCATCCTTACTTTTCTTGCAAAAGTAACCTCTGTACCCTTTCACTTTTTTTCCAACCTAGTTTCTCATAAGTGACCGTGACCCTCAGTGCAACCTCCACTGCTCCAGGACTCAACCCAAACCTATCTGTGCCTCTGACGGCAGGTCCTACGAGTCCATGTGTGAGTACCAGCGAGCCAAGTGCCGAGACCCAACCCTGGGTGTGGTACATCGAGGTAGATGCAAAGGTGAGTGTGCACGTGCCCAGCAGAGGAGAGATACCTGGAGCACCACGCTCCCTGCATGGGGCACTCCCCATAGGGAGAGCTCAGAATGAGTCTATTCATTTCACTTGCCAACCTCTCCCCATGTCCTTTCCACCGGGCAATGTGGGAAGGAGGACTGGCCCAGTGAAGGATGAGTACTTTTCTGGCTTTTAAACACCGCCAACAGGACTTAGAGAGATGTGCTGCTATTTGGCTAGTGCTTTTATTTTTTATTATTATTATTTTTTTTGTAGAGGTGCTTAAAATGGCAAGACATTGTGGCTGGCTCCTAAATAGGGATTCCACATTGTTGGCCAACAGATGTATTTTGTTTGGTCTGCTCGCATGTTTAAAAATATTTAAAACATTTGAGACAGCATTTAAAAGTTGGGAAATTCAACCTAAAAGTCTGGATTTTTGTGCTTCCCATAAAAAATTGGAAGCTCTGGTGATGTTACGTCTGAGTTCCCTCTTTCAAGGCAAACATGTGGCTGGAGCTGAGTAGTAGCAACCTCCTCCCGTTTTCCGGTTTGCCACAGTCCTCAGCACTCCCTATGGTGTTGCCAAGCTGAATGCCATTCTTCACATGCCCAGCCCCTTCTCTAATTTATATCACTTTCCTACGCCCTGTAGGTATTTGAGTTTGTGACCCCTGGACTGATCAGAGCTATCATAGGAATTGTGGGAGGCTAAGCCAGCTGCTCTAGAATTCTGATTTCCCAAAGAAAGTGCTTGCAGTTCTTGAACTACAAAACATCTTTGAGACTCCTTGGGCTTGCGTGTTTTTGAATAAACCCAGTGAAAAATAATAGAAGTAGAACATTTTTTTCCCTAGGAGGGCCTGGGGATACTTGGGAGAAAAAGAATAAACAGACCTTCGTATAAATATGACCACCCCCCACCCAACTTTTCTGAGTACCACTAAGAGGAAGGTGAGGCCACGTGGCACTCACCAGCTCCTGCCCTTGTGCCCTTGGAACAGCCAGCTGGCTGTGTGTGGGCCCCCTGCATGGCAGAGTGCTTTTCCCCCAGCATTTCTAGAACCGGCAGCTGCTTTGTCCATGGCTCCTGTGTGGGATCCAAGTGAATCTCAAATGCACTCCTCCCTCTTTTAGACGCTGGCCAGAGCAAGTGTCGCCTGGAGCGGGCTCAGGCCCTCGAGCAAGCCAAGAAGCCCCAGGAGGCGGTGTTTGTCCCGGAGTGCAGCGAGGATGGCTCCTTTACCCAGGTAGGCCTTGGCCACGTCTCTCAGGCCTGGGTCCTGAGCTGAGGCTGGGGAGAAGGGTCTGGGAGCAGGACGGCCCTGAGAGCCTCGCTTCCTGGAAACAGCTGAGGACTCTCTGACACCCTCCATGTTGCTTTCTGGGGCCGGCCTCCCCCTCCTGGGCCCCATGCCACCCCTTGCCAGCTGGCAGTGGGTCCTGAAAGGCTCATGCAGGTACGAGCCAGGAAACTGGCATTGCTTGGTCCCCATCCTCCCTGCTGGCCGTCTTCAATTTTCTCTTCTGTCAAATGTAGGCTGACTATTTTTTCTTATCCTCGCCAGTTTCCATGGGCAACCCCCGTATTCCCTTCACTGTTTATTACTACCCGTTTTATATGCCCCTCCTTCCCGCCCCCAAACCTCTAACAAAGCTCTGCTCCCTTTGAGTGTAAAGTGTCTGGGGGTTGTGGAGTGTGAGTGCATGTGTGGGTGTGTGGTATCTGTGTGTCTATGTGTGTGTTGTGTGGTTTCTGTGTGTGTGTGTGTGTGTGTGTAGGGGGTTGTCTGTGTGTGTGGGTATCTGTGTGTGAGTATAGTGTATGTTGTGTGGTGTGTGATATTGTGTGCATGTGTTGTGTGGTTTCTGTGTGTGTGTGAGGGTTGTCTGTGTGTGTGTGTCTGTGTGTATTGTGTGGTATCTGTGCATGTGTGTCTGTGTGTGTGTTGTGTGGTTTCCGTGTGTGGGCGGGGTTGTCTGTGTATGTGGGTGCCTGTGTATGTGTGTGTGTGGTATATGCGTGTGATGTGTGGTATGTGGTATCTGTGCGTGTGTGGTGTTTGCATGTGTGTGCATGTACACTCGTGTGTGCATACACTCAGATTCTAAAATTTCCTTTCAGGCAGTCCTACCTCTGATCCTGTATGATCTGCTGGCTAGAGCTTGTGTCAAAGTAATGCTGGCTATGTTGAAGTTGGCACAGACTGAAACACGGGCAGCATGGGACAGCGGGGTGGTAAAGCTTTCAGGCTGCAGGTGGGGACACAGTCTAGGGGCGGAGGTGGCTCTAAGAAAGTGGGGAGGACCACTGGACAAGGGTGGGTCAGCACTTGCTTGGGACGGGCCTGGTGCCCAGACTCCCTCTGTGGAGTGGAGTAGCATCCGGGGACTACTACCTGAGAGCTGGAAGCAGAGGCCTCAGGACTTTCACAGCTTCCCAGTAATGCTGAGTCTTGGGGCAAAGGCTGTAGGCTGGCCTCTGGTCCGCTGGGTTTCAGGTTTCATTTCAAGGCTGGGCCCAGGGGATTGCTGATTTCAGACGAGGGCAGGTGGAAGTGGAAATGGGAGGGGTGGTGAGGTCCGGACTCCATATTTTTTAAAGTTTCCCCACTGATTCAAGTGTTCAGCCAGTTAGCCATAAAAAGAAACGAAACTGAGTTATTTGTAGTGAGGTGGATGGACCTAGAGTCTGTTATACAGAGTGAAGTAAGTCAGAAAGAGAAAAACAAATACCGTATGCTAACATATGTATATAGAATCTAAAAAAAAAGTCATGAAGAACCTAGGGGCAGGATGGGAATAAAGACGCAGACCTACTGGAGAATGGACTTGAGGATATGGGGAGGGGGAAGGTGTAAGCTGGCACAAAGTGAGAGAGTGGCATGGACATTTATATACTACCAAACGTAAAATAGATAGCTAGTGGGAAGCAGCCGCATAGCACAGGGAGATCAGCTCGGTGTTTTGTGACTGCCTGGAGGGGTGGGATAGGGAGGGTGGGAGGGAGGGAGACGCAAGAGGGAAGAGATATGAAAACATATGTATATGTATAACTGATTCACTTTGTTATAAAGCAGAAACTAACACACCATTGTAAAGCAATTATGCTCCAATAAAGATGTTTAAAAATAATAATAATCCATAAATAAAATTAAAAGACAACCAATAAAGTAGAGCTTTAAAAAAGAAAAAAAAAAGTGTTCAGCCAGGATCGAGAACCACCGGGTTAAGCTGACCTTGGCTGCCCACCCTGTGAGAGGTGCTTTTATTCATTTTCTCACTTAAGTCTCACCACAAGCCTGCCAGGTAGGTGTTAGTGTCCTCATTTACAGAAGATGCAACCACAGCGGGTCGCAGAGTGGCCAGGGAGCTGGCAGTCCAACTCAGATCCCTCCAGCTCCAAAGCCCTCAATACTCTTGCTGTTCTCTGAACTGGCAGCTTTAAAGGAGTGCTCGCTTCGGCAGCACGTGTACTCAAATTGGAACGATACAGAGAAGATGAGCATGGCCAGGGGTGACATGCAAATTCGTGAGGCGTCCCATGTTTTATCGTGACTTCACCCCATCTCAAAATTCTCCCAGAAATGTGACTCTTTAATGTGTAGCTATCATAATAAATAAAATAAACATATGGTGCAAAATTTTAGATGAAATGTTTAAAAATATTAAAATTCATATCTATATAAAAAACAAATATGTACTAAAATTCCATTCTGAGAGGTTTAATCAAGTTCTCTCCTTTAACTTGAATATTATACTGTTTTGTTTCTTTTCTATAGAAATAAAAATGCCTATTGAAAAAAAAAAACAAAGGAGGCTCTGAGGTGGAGACTGGAGGAAGGCAGTCTAGTGTGGTAGTTAGCACACTGCTCCTGGAGCTAGACGGCCTGGGCATGAATGCACCCACCACCTCAGGCGCGTCGCTGAACTTCCCTGGGTCACAGTACCCTTATGTGAAAAATGGAGACTGTGATCTCCATTATCGTTCTATGTGGTAATAATTAGTATTATATTATACGTGTTACATGTTACTATTATTATCACTATTATTGAGTATTACTGTAGCTTACCTCATAGGGTTGTGATGAGGATTAAATGAGTTAACACATGTAAAATCTTTGGAACACATAAATGCTATATGGATATCTGGCATTATCATCATCATTATCCCCATCTCTACTCTGGTTATACTGCTCAAATCTTCCCAAGATGTTACAGATGATGTCACCTAAGGAAAAGAAAGTCTTTTGTCGAACCTTCCCCCGCATCAATTCTTTATCATTTTTTCTAGTCAAAAGAGTGCAGGTGATCTTTGTGCTGAGAATTCACGTATGCGGGAGAAAATCAAACCCCTCACAGCTGAGTTTGGGGCTGAGACGGGGGTAATAAGGAGGAGGCGGAATCCTTTTTTTCCCCCTTTCTCTAGACCTCTGTAATTCTGAGTGTGTTACTTATGAGAGCGGTTGACCCCTGCCCCCTTGGTTCTGAAGCGTTTGCTGCCTCGTGACAGACAGCCGCTGGCCAGCTTTTGTTTCGGTGAGGCCAGGCTGGACCAGGTGGTGTTTGCCGGGGAGGGGAACTTCCAGATTAGTCCAGGCAGAATTGCTAAGTGAGGGGGCCCCTGAAGTACAGCAAAGGGTGGATAGACAGTCAAGAGCCCCCTCATTTGTTTGACACACTAAGCACTGCCATGTGTCTGCAGGCTCGAGGCTGGATCACCCCGGTGGGCAGCCAGGAAGCCAGACAGCTGGTCAGTCCCCGTTACAGGGATTGAAATGGATGTGCCTTTTCCCTTGATCAAAGACACTGCAATAACTTCACAAAATGAGTCTGCCTCTTTGAGTGTGCTTCAGTTGTACTGACAGGCTGCCAAAAGGCTAGGAGAAAAAAATGCTTTTCTCCCTCCTCCAACCTCCACTGTCTCTTAGCTGGACTTCTTTGTTTTTGTTTCTTTTTTAAGACCAAAACCCAGAGAGCAGATACACTGTTTTATTATTGTTTAGAATATTGACATGCATGCATCCTGGTGTTAATAACATATTTTAGTCCTGTGAATTATTACTCAGTAACATGCTCTTGAAGTATATGGAGGGAGTGAGAGGACCCTAATGGGACTGGGTTTGTCTGGCATGGGACACAGCTTGGGACCACATGACTGGGTTGGCTTTAATGGGGTTCATGTGGGATGCAATGGTCTCTGTTCTCTCATTTGTTTCCCCTTGACCGCTTCCCTCGATACCCCCCGACCCAACTCACACAGCAGAGTGGTAAACATTATAACATTAGGTATTTTAAAACCTTGATATCTAGTCCACATCTCAGACCATTAAATCAAATTCTGGGAGAGGCACCCAGGCATGGTTATTATTTCAAGCTCCCAGGTGATGCCAGGGTTCGGTCCAAGTTGTGAATGACCTGCTGTTGTAAGGGCTTCATCACTCCCGTTCTTGGTTGAGTCACTGGAATGTGGAGTTAAGGCTTTTTGCTGACCTGTTGAGTAAGGTTGGGAGCTACTGGTTTTGTCCTTTGGTGTGGTCCTATCTGTTTTCTCTTCTGGGTATCAGGAATGTAACTCCTGACATCTGGTCTACGGAGTCCTCTGCCAAGCTGTTTTCTGCTGCCCAATATGATGAACTGAAGTCAGAGCCGTAGTAGTGATTTCAGCAGTGAAGGGTATGGGATCACCACCACCAGGATGTTGGCTAGAGCTTGTCAAGCTTAGGCAGCACTGAATAATAATGATGGCAACCCTTTATTGAGTGCTATTTGGTACCAGGCACTGAGTTTTACACCCACTAATCTTCACTAGGACCTTTTGAGGTAGTTATTAATACCCTTATTTATACTGGAACACTGAGTTTCAGAGGGGTTGAATAACATGTTCAAGGTCACTAAGGATTTGTGCCTAATTTCAAGGCCTGTGCTCTTGACTTTTTTATGCTACGTAAGTGTCCTTGATGCATATGTAATTCATTTTCATTACCATTGTTATTCCAGAAGTCCCCTCTCTGATGCTGTTGACCAATCAACCAAGCAAACATAAAAAAAACCTCCTTTTGCTTATGGAAATTTTCAAACATACAAAAAAGTAGAAATAATAGTATAATGAACTCCATGTACCTGTCACCCAGATTCAACAATGATTAACATGTGGCTGATTCTGTTTCGTCTTTACCCTATTTTCATCTCCCACCCCAAACTGGATTGCTTCAAAGCAGGTCCCAGACACAATATTTTTTCATCTCAG